ACATTGGAATTCTTTACTGTTTGGCTCTTAAGTTGCGATATTTTCTTTCACCTAAGCTTTTGATAATTTTGGGATGATTATGATTTGAAATGCAATATTACAGATACTTGATATTTGCATGTACACTTTGGAATAAAAGACAGCACTCCAATTTAGTTTCTCTTCCAGAACATTACTATATTAACTTTAACACTAATTTTCATTCTGCATTTGCTGTTTGCACTTTTAAAAATTCTCATTTCCATAACACATTTGTATGAAAATACAACTCAATGGAAATATTCTATCACATTTTTATGATTCGCTATCAAATAACTTCTCATAAGTTTAGGCTTTCAGTTTCCCTTAAGCATGCTAAATTGTCTTTTTATTAATTCATACTAAAAAACTTACAAATGATGATATTGACATCTCATTTATCTCGCAAATAATAAGCAGAATCAATAACAAGATCCTTTTATAGAACTAAAACGTAGGGCATCATATATTCTACTTAGTGTATTTTATGATTAACATTCCTAAAGCAGAAGCTATATCCAGCACAAATGCAAAACTATAGCATTGCATAATTTTAAGTTTTATACTGCAAAACTGAATAAATGAAGAGCAAAGAAGACTTTTGGAAGTGGAACTTTAAAGTCAATGCTTTTTTCTTAATAAAAATCCAGCAACTATAACAATTAACTATTAATGATACGTACATACATACATAATATGCATATATAAATGGAATGAATGTATACACATATGAAAATTTAAATGTGCAACATAATACGTAAATCCAAAAAGGAGTGAGTTCCTTATGCATACCTTTCATATGTTTGAACAAAATTAACTCAAAGGGTTACAGCCTAATAATTTTATTAGACAGACTTAAAAAATAACACATGAAATATATACTATCACAGTTAAATATCCTTCTGGAAAAACACTAAAAGTATTTAAATACTATTACTAAATCTAAAACACTTAGCAGAAAGGTAAGATATGTGCTGTGAAAAATGACTATATAAATTCAGCCGATCCAAAATAATTAAATATATTGACCTATTCAGATACTTGACAAATCCAATATTTGGGTCAAGTATGAAAATATTTTTCATCTTTTAATAAATTATTCCCACTAATGTAGTTTTTGCCACAATCAGTTCATATTAGTCTACGTATTTCCCTCCAAAAATCAAAATACTAGTAGCAAAGCTTTTCATAACAGTATTAGGTTATTTAAAAATATTCTATGACAAAACAAAAAATTCAAGTATTAAACAAAGAAATGACAGGTAATGTAAACCTTCAGCTTTCTCATGTAATACTTTGTTCATGATAAATCTGCAGAACATATTACAGCATTACATAAATAACAGATATACAGCTTCAAACATAAAAGCCTGTAATAAAATTTCAGACTAAAAAATTTTTAATATTTAATTTTCACATTAAAATATGGAACTCATTATAGCAATTTATGCATCAGCATTTAATATATATTACCTGCATTCATTTTAGAAAAAAAGATTTTTAGTATAAATTTTAGATCTCAAACAAAGTCACCCCATTTTATAAATATGTTATAAAATAATGTGCATAACATATATTAATATTTCAGTTTAAAAGAATATTGTAAATATTAACTGAATACATAATTATCACACATATGGAGCTAGAACATCTATTTGATTTTTTCATATAAAAGTAATACATTTTTGATTAAAAAAGATTCAACTTTAATCTTCTATTAAATCAATATTTCCAGGGGTTATTCTGATAAATTAGATTTGGCTGCAAACTGACATTTTTAGCTATTATAGTCACAGAAAAATGTTCAGCTACACAAAGTCTTGACAAGGTGCTTACAGCTCTGCATAAGGCTAATAGAATAAGGTTAAGCATGCAGACTAGGAAGTCAAGGAAAAGAAATACATATTATCCCAAAGCTGCCATGTAGCATATCTATAGTTTTAAACAAAAATAAAGTTCTTACATTTCCTAATAACTTATTATTAATACATATAATTTAAACCTAGATATCAAATATTGGAAATTACATCATTTGAGATTTAATAAATTGTTATTTTATGAAAAATCAAAGATGTATTTTTGTAAATAATTAAAAAACTTTTGGTGAAAAATTATACGTATTGGACAGAATAAATTAATAAAAAAATTCAATCATATTTTCATAAAACCTGTAACAAATATACTTAGAAGATGTAATTATAACATGAAAATACAAAACTAAGTATATATTTATGCAGATAAAATTGTTGTGACAGTTATAATGAGGCACTTTTCTTTTGTTCGGTTCATGAATAAAAATCAGCTTTAAATTTAAGCAAAAATATTTTTAAGAATGGGGATCAAATTAATAAACAGTGTGCTACAGTTATAAAAACATTTCAAGAAGTTTTTAATTTATTAAGAATAACTGAGTTAGTCCAGTGCAATTTAAGATATGCAAAACCCATGTCAACTAAAACAAATGCAAATTAAAAGAGACATTAAAAGAGAGTACATTAGAAGAGAGTTAAATATGTTATTCTTTTCATTATTTCAGAGTAATCATCGTAATAAAACCTTTTTCACCAAAGTAATAAACAGCGTGCTTCAGTCATAAAACACACTTCAAGAAATTTTTACTTTATTAAGAATAACTGAGTTTGTCCAGTGCATTTTAAGACACTCAAGACCTATGTCAACTAAAATACTAGCAAATTATATAGTGAAAGACAGCTAAATATATTAGCCTTTTTGTTATTTCAGAGTAACCATCATAATAAAATTTTATTTATTAAATTTCACATATGTTTCACATTGGCAGAATGAAAAATTATTATTATATTTTCAATTATAGACTATGCAGATATTATTAAGAATCAGAAAATTTTCATAAAACTATAATACAGTACAAAGTCCGTAATCCGGACGTCCATTATCTGGAAAGATCTATAATCCGAACCTCAAAGCCACAAACTTTTTTTTTTTTTTTTGTATGCTTTATGCATGCGCGTTTAATGCGCGCTTCCGATAGTGAAGAAAATGACAGAGAGGTTATTGAAAACGAAAAAATTTCGATTGACAAGTTAGTCCGTATTCTGGACACAGCAATTACAGGACTTGAACAGTGGAACTTTGTAACTGAACAAGAAATTATGTCTTATAGGATTAAAGAGAAAATATTAGCACAAAAAATGAAGCAACTTAAACAACTTACATTGAAAGAAAGGTAATAAAGTAAACAAATAATATTAAGCTATTTTTTTTTTGTAAATTTGATACCCTTTAGTCATAACTACTCTTTATTTCATAAATACGGTTTCATATTTTTAATTGTATAATTTCTGCATGCCATCTTACCAGATTTAAATTGATGATCTATAATCCGGAAAAACCCCTAATCCGGAATCGCCGAAATCCCGATGAGTCCGGATTACGGACTTTGTACTGTAAATCCCAAAAAAAAAAAAAAAAAAAAGAAAAAAAGAAACAGAAAAGAAACGCGGCATTCAAATGTGACTCAGATGACTGGAGAAATGAAATTATAGAATATTTACACATTTTCAAGGCATGTCATTACTAAACAGTCACTTTGTGCTGCAACCCATATTACCCAGTTTTCTCAAAGTTGTTTTATCCTCTCTTTAAAGAAAGTATTCAGGTCTGAGAATGTATCTACTTTCGAATACTGTTACGATGCACTGACATTGGAAGAGCTAAAATCTGAACTATAGACATATTTTATAATTGGAATATCAATATGTGCCACCAGCCTATATGTGATAAACACAGTTTTTCACATTGTCTTAAAAACCTGACCAAAATTTAAAACCTTGAAAACTCTTTCCTTACCAAAAAAACTTAATCTTTTTTTTCCATGTACTGAGACACTTCCGGCTTATATAATATAATACTACTATCAAATCACATACAGATGAAAAGGTCAAACTCCAGCACTGCATTTAACACATGGTGATTGTAATTAAGATTGTTAAATTTTTGTGGCCCAGGACAATCTTTGTGAATCGTAAATTCTAAAACATTTGCTGCTTGGTGCAGCCACCATCAGAATTTCTAAAGCCATCCCTCATGCTTTGGGAATCACACACAAAAGATCCAATCTGTGTCATATTTGAATGCTTTACTACAAAATAAGATAAATATTTATGTTTAATTTTTATGGTAAATAAAATGAAAACAAAAAGAAATTAAAACTGCTAATGTATGTGATAATAAAAAATAAGCATCAATTGCATCAAGTAAAGTGCAATGCATTAGAACTTTAAGTAGTATTTTTATTTATACAACTAAAAACATAGAGGTTTAAAAACAAATATTGTATTCAGGTTTTCCGTATAAATTTAACAGATTTTTATAGACACATTTTAACAGCATCCAATATATATATAAAATATTATTTTTTAATTTATTAAAGATACAGACAAACAATCAAGTTTCAATGTATCATTAATAAAAAAGAAGTATTTTAACTATAAGCTCTTACTAGTCTAAGTTCACATCTTCTTTTTTTTTTATCAAATGGTATCGAAAATTAAGAAAATGCTTCCAACATTTTCACAAATAAAAACAAATATGGCACATTAAAAGCTCAGGAAAATAATGAAAATATTCTTATTACATGTACTTTCAAACTATGAATTAAGGTCTTCACACAATTTGAAATACAAAAATGAAATTATAAATAGAATAAATAATTTTAATTCTAAATGTGTAGTAATAAATTCAAATATCGCTTTTCAAAAATAAACATATTTATACAAATCCATCACATTTTTACTCTATTTTAACCTTGTTTCCTCTTTGGACGTCAAAGTTGGCATTCATAACAAACTACTTGTTACCACTGCCTTTCAAGCAAAATAAGATTTATGGGAAAGTACCAAATTTTAAAACATTTTCCATGCTAGCAAAAGATGGCAAAAGTGTATAAAAACAAGGCATTTTTGTTAAATAACATATAATCAAAATAAATAGCTTTTCCTTAGTTTTTTTTTTTTTTTTTTTTGATAATAAATTAAAACCTGCTCGAGAAAGATATGCCAATTAATAATTTTTAGTTAGATTAAAATGAACATCAAAGTTTAAAAAAAAATAGTGAAAGAAAGTTAGCATCAAAAACTACCATTACATATAAATGTCCCAATTTTATGTACTTTAAATCAAATCTTTATCTTTACCATCAAATCTTTTTCCCTTTTCAAAAACTAAGGCATATTCATTTGCTGACGAATTTTATTGCATCTTTTACTCAAGATTCAACTTTTCTTAAGAGTTTTGAAAATATATTTTCATGCAGGAATTTCCTTTGAGAAGTTAACATAAAATCTATCTAACAAATCTAATCCCATTTATAATTATGTTGCTGATATTTTACAAAATGAAAAAATGATATAAATGATAGTCACAAGTAAACCAACACAGGATGTTCACAAAAGGCTTCTACAGACCTTAATTCATAAATTAATAAATTTATAACGATTTTAAAAAAAGAAATTTCTACACAAAAATAAAATTACAGTTTTATAATTAATCAATAAAACTCATAAAGAGTCTTATGAAATTATTACAAAATACTTTCTGAATAGAAATAAGAGTGGTGACTGTGTAAGAATGATTACCATTTGAGGCATGACTAGGCACTTCATTTAGACTGATGCATGATTTATAATATATTGAATGCATCACAAGTATCGTAAGATATTTCCATTTAACATATGAATTTTATTAAACAAATGTGCCACAAACTTTAATATAATTTAATATTTGGAGCTTAGAATAGGATGTGAATAGATGAAGAATTTTATAAATTTCTGAAATGTCTTCTAACATGTAACAAATAACGATTAAAAAATTTCACAAAATTTCAGTCTTTTTTTGGATATTTTCATGGAAATAAATTGGCTTTATTACCTAATGAATTAAAACATACAAATTAAACTCCAACTTGGGTTATAAAATATCTATTTCTTTTTTTAATATAGATGGCAGATTTTTTCTGGGAAAATTTTTATTTTAAATCAAGGTAGCAAAATCATATAAAAAAAGAATCTAAGAAATAATGTGAACATTAGTTTCAAAATAAAAAGAAGGCAGTGAACATGAGAAAAATATTGCAAGAATAAATCGGCCTAACACTGATAAGTGAAGTCGAATGCAAAAATATTGATAATTACATTTTATCTTACAGAATTAAAGCATACATTACAGATAAACCTAGTGACATGCCACTTTACCTAATATAGGAAATGATGGAACATCAGAAACTGCGTTTACTGCGCAGAATGTTGGCACCTTAAAATCTATGAGATTCGATAGTCTTTATGATAAAATCTGTACAATGATAAGCTATCATCATTGAGCACCAAGTTTCAGAATAAGACCAAAGCAGCTAAGGATATAGTCAATGGTTCTGATTTACAATGAAATAGAAAATATACAAATGCTGCTCCAAAATCATAGTTTAGCATTTCATTGTTAGGCACATAAAATGCTGCCATCAAGAAATTATTTCTAGAAAACAGTAACATCTTAGACAGTAATAATTGTACTTCATCAATCAATCACAGCTTTTTAAAATTTTCGGGCTAGTTTTATTTTGTAAAGTACCACATTCTGCAGACTTTGTAGCATTTACACTTTTCTTAGCTGGAGAATTCCCAGGACTGTTTTCTGTTTTGGCTTTCTCAACAGGTTCTTCTAATTCACCTATGCTTGTCTGAACCAATGGAGTTTCAAGTTCTGGATACTGTGCCATTCGAGTCCGTAATAAATATGCATAGGTACGATACCTTGTTAACTGCAATAAGACAAATATTTAGTTATACACAAAGAACTGCTTAAAAAAGTAAAAAACGATTCATTCAGAAATTACATTCATAAATTATTTGGAAAAAAATTCAGGATATGCTCGAATTTTGACAGAAAAAATTAGCATCAAGAACATAACAGTTTGCTTATATATATATATATATGTAACATTTTGAGTACACATTACACATTTCATACTTATCTAACTTCGGGTTTTCATCCGCAGAGAACCCAATGGCGCCGTTGCATTTTTACTAGCCAAGCTCGTGGTTCATCTACGATGAGTAGGGCCGTAAATGTGATTTTTAGTGCATGTAAATTCAAGTTAGCACACAAAAACAATATATTAAACATATGGTAGTAAAAATTCACAGATAATAAGCATGTAGATACTAATTCAGAAGTCAAACAACAAAAATCAGCGTTATATTCACAAAATTTTCACTGTGAAAATTTTGTGAATATAACGCTGATTTTGTTGTTTGACTTCTGAATTAGTATTTATTCGGCGTGTTTTGTTGTCTAATTAAGCATGTAGATGTAAACTAACCGGTTAAACGTGCTATACGAAAATAAATTTGTATTAATTCAAGTTAGCACAGAAAAGATATATATTAAGCATAGACAATATATAAGCATTTATAAACGAAATAAAAATTCATTTAAAAAATTATTATTAATATACTGAATAACCGGTTAAACGTGATATACGAAAAAAATTTGTCTTAAATTCCAACACAGAAAACATATATTCCTGACACCAGCAAGGTTTGCTAATTTTTGATGACCATGGTGATGCATCAACTATTCTGTCATCTTTATAATCATTATATATTTTATTTCATTTAATCATCTATTATGTCACACCTGCCATCCTCTGAAAGGTTATTGTTAGAAAAGCATTAACATATATTATCTTTTAAAATTTTACGCCATAAAAATTGATTTATTCTCATAATTTTAGATGACAATTACCAATAATAAAATAAAATCATTACTTAATTATTTAATGCACATGCACATTTTTGCAGTCTACGGAAAAAATTATTTTAGACGTGTGGAACCTCATGGTTTTTTAGACTGTTAATAATTAAGAACACAACGTGAACAGCCGTGTTACAAATTAGCATTCATCCCTCCTTTCATCCTGAACCGAGAACCCACATCTATCTACGAAAATATTTCTATCTATTCGTTGTTAAAAAATTCAGAAAAAATTATAATAAATAAGAGAATAATAATATAAATCTGCAAATGCGAACAACGACAGTGAAAATTCAACAAAATAAACGCAAGAGGAATGGTTGCAAACTTCGAACAAGAGAATAGGGTAAATCCGATGGGTTACCAGGTTTGAACTATTATCGCTAAAGTTGGCAATGTTTACATTTACTGGGTTCTCTGCGGAAGTGCTTCCCGAACTTCTTCAATATCCACAATTTTGACCTTTTTTTTTTTAATTATTACAAATAGAATCTGTTGTGTCTAGCAATGTGGGTTAGTGAAGTGCATGACGCAACCAAAACAGACTAGTTCACGGCACAAACATTTATTTCTAACTAACTCATAATACAGCAGCGATGCGCTATTTACGCAGTTACATTATATTTAAAGGAGGTTAACCTCCTTGTTATATTCTCCTCTACTCTCGTTCACAGAGGTTCTCAGGTATAAGAGTACTGATACTCTCGAAAACAGATGCTACATCCCTCCCCACTTATTTAGAGATTTAATCTCTGAGGAGCTTTGCGGATGCGCGAAGATCGTGTAAGTTCTGGCTGGGTTTGCTGCAACTCTTTATCAGTATTCACTGGAATGACTGGCTCAGTTTTCCTTGGAACTGACGATGTTTCAACTTTGGATGAAGTGTGCACAGCTTCACTTCTTTGTTCGATGTCCTTGTCCGGAGCCTGTGGCTTCACGTTGCCATCTGAAGTAGTAGCCATACGAGGTTCATAGATTACCGGTGCAGATGGAACCTCGCTCCCTACCGATCTGATCTGATGGACGTGCCGGCGCAGTAAAGTTCCTTGAACGTCAATGGTATAATGCAGCGCTCCATCCTTGTTTGTCACTCTGCCAATTTTCCATCGGGAATTTGCCGATCTATAATCCCGAATGGCAACCCTTTCTCCGATCTCAAAATTTCTGTCTTTGAAATCATAAGTATTCCTTCGGATGCGTTCTTCCACTCTTCGTCTAAGATTTGGAACAACTAAATCAATTCGAGTTCTAATTTCTCTTTTTAAGAATAACATTGCTGGACTTAACAAGGTTGTCAAGTTCGGTGCCTTTCTATAATTCATGAGGAATATGGCAAGTTTTTGCTTAATATTTCCTGGATAACCTTGCATTGCACGTAATGCTTGTTTAACGGTGTAAACGTACCGCTCTGCTTGCCCGTTACTTGCTGGTTTAAATGGAGCACACGTTTTGTGTTTAATTCCATTATTCCTTATAAAAGTTTCAAATTCCCCCGATGTGAACTGAGGACCATTGTCACTCACTACTACTAAATGCAGTCCGTATCTTGCAAAACAGTCTCTCAAACATTCAATTGTCTGAAAGGAATTTATTGACTTTAAGGTATACACTTCTAGACATTTAGAATGTGCATCAATGATAATCAAGAACATTCGTTCAAAAATCGGGACTGCAAAATCTACGTGAAATTATACAATTTCGCATTCAAGCTTGAGATCAGAACTTTCCCACTTTTGCCTCTGGAACATTTTGAATGTCCAAAAAAGCCTTAACCCTTTGCGACACACATATTTAAAATATATTTTAATCTTTAAAAAAATGCCTTAGAATAAGTCAGATGGACTTACTTAAGTGCCTTTAAGGCTTGGAAAAAATTCTGCGCTTTTATTTTTTACGGGGGAAGGTGGAATACCGTTTGTCCCACCATGCAACTAGCACATGTCTTATAGCATATTGGTGTATAGCAGGAAAAAAAATCGTATGTGGAATGAATAAACAAAATAAAGCGTGCATTCTAAAATATTCATAATAAACGCACTAAAATGCATTTTGTACTTATTGCATATATGCATGACTTGAAAAATTTTGCAAAATGCACATTTTGCATATATATATTTCATATTTTTAAATTTTAGGAACAAAAAATATTTTCTTGAATATTATTTTAAGATTAAAATTTGAAACTTAGATATACTAAATAAAATATTAAAATTGACACTTGATTCAAAAACATTTATATATGATTAAAATTGAAAAAAAGTCATTTTCATGAAACTTTGAAAAACATGTTGTTTCATTCTTTTGTAAGCATAGAGGCACTTAACATGTTTCACACATCCAAAATGTTCATCATTCTTCTTTCAATGTGCTGCAATATGCACATCTTCTTCTGCTCGTTCTCTTTGGCGTGTGACATACATGTTTTAGTCTCTTTTCTGGTTGTACGAACGGGTTTTTCATTTTTTATTTGAACTGGGGATTTCAGTTTTCTTTTCAGCTGTTTCTTGCCTGCAAGTGCCATTAGATCTTCTATAACTTAGAGAAGAAAATCTTTCATTGTTTTTACATCATGATCGGGTTCGCGAACAAACTTAAATAGAATAAATGCGTTTACTATACTCACATCTAAAAAGTCAAAAAAAAAAAAAAAAAAAAAAAAAAAAAAATCATGTGCACCATTTCTTTCTTGCTTTTGCGGTGTATGTTCATATAGTCCTTTCAGTTGATCAATTAGTCGACATATCCCATATTCTTATTGTATGAAATAATGCTGTTTGAGCACAGTACTTTTTGTCTTTCCATCTCGTTCTTTTCTATTAATTTCTTTCATTTCAGTTGCCTTTTCCAAGCAAGACAGGATAGAAACGGATCTTTTATCCTTCCATTTTTTATGCAATAAATTGAATCATGGCTAACTGAAAAAGTCTATATATTCCCTTGACTAAAAATTTTGTCTTTTAATTTTTGGTTAGATACTTCCGATTCATATTTACGTGCCACATATAGATAGGTCTGTGTCTTTAAAAAGCGAAACAAATTATAACTACTTCCCTTTCTTCTTCAGCAATAACTTCAACCTCAGTTATTCTCTCCTGGATTTCAATTTCATCTGAATCAGAACTGACATCTGAAGCATTTGAGTCCCAATCGGATGGCAATTCAGCAAAAAGATCCAAAGCTTCCTGAGTTGTTAACTTTTTTCTAGACATTTTAGCACATCAGAGCATACAACTTATGTAAAAGCGCGCGAAATCACGAAAAAAGTAGATGCAAAAAAGAAAAGAAAAAATAATCGTGAGTGCTGCCATCTATTGAGCGGAAATTCAAGTGTGTGGTGGACAAATTTTAACCCACTTATTTCAACTGCAAATTAATGTTATCAAATATTGAATCCAATAAAGATTTTTTGAAATAAAATACCTTTGAATATTAAAAAGAATCATACATATCATAAATTGTATACCAAAATTTTTAAAATATTGAAAAGGGAGATACATGGATATCACTCTTGTGATCCTATTTTGAATATTTTTTACTTATCAACTTAAGCCCTGTATAGTAGTAACATCTACTGAGAAAAATAATAACTAAAATAGATTAATTTTTAAAAGATTAGAAAATTTCTAACGGAAATTGCTAAGTGAGAAAATAAATATTAATTAGGTGGGACATATATTGACCCACCATGCCGCAAAGGGTTAAATCATTCTACGAACGAATCAAAATTTTCTACCGTTTCATCAAACTTATGAAAAGAAACAAAAATTTTGTCTTGTTTATGTTCCGATTTCTCTTGCAATGCGACCATTAAAGCTTCATTTTGCTTTATTAATTCTTCAATTAACTTCTCCATACTTTCAAAATAAAAATCAAATAACTTTCCTACCTTTTGCAGTTTTCCAGGAATCCCCTAAATCCAAGTTTCGGTTTTGCTACTACTTTACGCATGTAACCGAGTGCATATTTCACAAGTGTACATCAGCGTAGCCACTGAGGGAGGGGTTT